CTCACCCCCCCCCCCTATTACTAATAATATATCAATTAAACTTCTAAACGGTTACTTCTTGTTTCATTTTTTCATTTTATTATTATTATCATTATTATGACCATAATTGTTATCGTCATATTATTGTTATTATAATTATTGTTATTTTTATCATTATTTTCATTATTATTATTAATGTTATTATTATCATTATCATTATAATTAGCATCTTTCGATGAATTCTTATTTGTATAATTATTGTTATTGCTATTATTATTATTGTTATCATTACTTATTCAGAGTTGTTGTTTTTGTTATTGCAGAACCAACTGACACTGATTTTTTTTCCTCAAAATGTACTAATCTTTTATAATTTTGATTGTGCTTCTAAATCAGTGATATTAGAAGCACGATAAGACCCGAATAGCGCATCCTTACATGTTTGTCCTCATTGATAGATATCATTTCATTTTAGTTTTATCGTCTTTTTATCGGTGAACCCGCCAATAAAAATTAATATAGCGAGTCTTTGATTCTGTGTATTTGTATTTATATACACCATATGCGATAAAACGTGCATTAACCAAAGGTCGAACTTATCTAGGTTCTTCATTGCATTCTGTCTTCTGCAGATAAATGGCGAGATAGTTGGTCGAGTTTTGTATTCCAAGCAAATACGGGTCTATTCGTGAGATAAACTTGCAAGATAAACAATTTATTGTCCCCATAAATGCATTTCCATCTACATGTAAATGAGAGCATTAGCACAGGAGCTGTAAATCTCGTTCCCCGAACCATGCTTACCATTGTGATTAATACCTCAATAAATTGTGTAACTTAATGTCTAAACATTTTAATAATACATGAGATTTATATAGCGCCATTATCCATTTTAATTAAATGCTCAAGGCGCTTTAATACTCATTTAGGTTTCTTTTTCTCATGTCGATTATTATAATAAAAAATTACCGCCAGAAATACCATTCTGACTGCTTTATCTTTGTAAGAATATGAATTTTAAGAGAATGCTACTTGTAAATGCTAACGTAATTCACTCTTAAATGTGTGATGATATACAATATACAAATATTTTAAAACAACTAAATTGTATACAGCCAAGAGTAAGATCTTACTGTTTTTCACAGATTTTGAAGAATTTAAAGTACAGTATGCAAGCATTATAGTCGCGTGGTTGTGTGCAAACCAAAGAAACTATATTGGGTAGATTCTATATAATGTTGAAATGAAGCCTCTTTGAAAATGCTTTCAATAAAGTGATCAATTTTATGTGTAATGTCATCAAAGTTTCTCTTCTTTGTAAACTTGGGGACGTCTTAGAAAGTCTAGAACCGCCATTACTTGTTTCAACTTGAATCAGAGTTTGAAGAGTGAACACCATAGGTTCTTTCGCAACTGCAGTATATTATGACGTATATTCTATTTTTAGTCAATCTGTGGTAAAACGGTAGCCAAGGTATACGAACGCTTCAGCCAGATATCTTTACGATGCATACAAGACCTTTGTACTGTTTGTTAGTGTCATTAGTCCAACATAGAAGGGTATTAGGCCATGTAAAATTGATTACATGTTGATCGTCCGGATTTTTTGAAAAAGAGGAGGAGGGTGTACCATGTTATTTGATATTTGATATTTTTCCCAAGATGGCTGCCGCGTGTAAAATCCAGTGCTAGAGCGCGGCCACGCTATCGTGAGGTATCTGCGATGCGATGATCAGTCGACTTGATCAACTCGAGCTAGCTAGCTCCTCGACTCGATCAACTCGAGCTAGCTAGCTCCTCGACTCGAGCATATACATGCGATATATGCATGAGCAGCGCATGCATCATCGCATCATTTTTTAGCGCAGCTTCACTTCAGCATATCGCTGATCATATAGCATATCAACCACTATACATTTCAATACAATTTTTTCTAGAGTCTTAGTATGTTTGTACAAGAATATTTGAACAGCGTATTTGAAGAAAAGGTGGAAAAGATGCATATGGTATTAAAGTATTTTGTGTTGTTTTCTGAATAAAAAGAAAATATATCAAATATCAAATATAAGGAGGCGGGCGGAAAAAAGGAAGCGGGCGGGGACGATCAACATGAAATCAATTTTACATGGCCTTAGTCTTGTATTATAGGGTATAGCATGCTGGTAAAATAATGCCAAAGTTTGCGTTTATGAAGCACACCAAAAACAAAAAACTAATACAATTCCAAAGAGATAAATACAACCAACAACATGTCTCGTTGCCCATTACACCTTACTTGACATACACAATATATTTGTTTTACAATAATGAGAGAGATAGAGAGAGAGAGAGATCCGGAAAATTAACATTTCTGTATCGTTTATAAGATAATTTTGGACTTGTGCCCATGCTTGTGCCCCCCCCCCCCCCGGGTCCGGCCAGATATTCCTGAATCCACCACTGATAATGCCTGAAACTACCCGATATGCTTACTAACATAATTTTAAAGATTCATGAAATTCGTCCCCATTTTTCGACTTTAATAAAGTTGCATCGTACCTTTAAAGCGATCAACAGATCGTACCTTATGCCTAAGTGTAGTTGACATGCAAACAATGCGATGATAGAACAAGATAATAGCAGCGCTTCCATTCTTGTAGAGAGAATTTTACAGTTGTTTGAATTCCGTACCTAATTATCCATTCAACGATTGTTATCGTGTACATGTACAAAGTGCGAGGCCCTTAACCGACCTTCCGAAGTGTAAATTATGGATTTTGCATGCGTTAGAAAGATAGATTTGTCATAATTATTTTAGACGAGTAGTGTACAAATTGCAACACGCATCGATTTTTTTCCTCCATATATTTATATACGTCAATAATAGATCCGTGTGTCGGTGTGTATGAAATTTACCATACCACAATGATGTTGAATTATGATTGAGAACTCATGCTGTCCTTTTATAGGGTGATGTGATACAATTTCCATTGCAATGATTGAAAAACATTTCCTGAAGGTGCTTGCAGTTAGGCAACATACAGCCGAGTGTTGTCATTACTGCTAATTTCTGTTATGTTGTCATATCCCACTTTAATACCAGCCTGTTCAGTTCATGCCATTTTTGTTTTAGAAGAAGCAGCACATGGTTGAAACAATAAAGCGAAGACAGCAGAAAAGCGTGCAATCCTAATTCATGAGGGTGGTTGGACCTATACAGACCATAGTCGGAATCACCGATTTACCAGGAATAACTAAAATGATCAAAATGAACATCAATACAGACTGTTAAGACAATGAACATACTTCTTTCGACCAAGAATGAAACATATAGACAGACAGAAAGACAGACAGGACGGACAGAGATTCCGATGTGCAAACTGTACACTGAAAATCAAAACCATGTCGAAATGGATGTTGTTCTAAATGTGCTTTGTTTAGTGTGTAAGGCATTTTAAACATGTAATTAATAACAAATTGTGAAATAATAATACATGTATGGCAAAGAGAAGGAAATAAGGCAGACTAAAATCAGTGTATAAACTACCAAGGACATGAGTTGAGCGAATGTGTCGCCGAGTTGTTCGGTGAAATGGTTCGCCCAATCAAAAAGCAGCGGTTTGCATGGCGAACAAGCCCCACCTCTTCTGACCAATCAAAAAGCGCCAAACACGGAGCAGTACACGCTGACTGGTGTCATTGGTCATCAGTTAATCGGTAGGATACAATGTTTATCTATCTCACAGAAGCTGAAGAAACGATTGTAAAGATGAAGATAATAAATAGCTGTCTTTTAGCATAGCCAAACCCAGTAGTCAGAGTCAGAAATTATGTTGGAGTCGAATAAGTATAATTATGTCAAGGTCATTTACCAGCCTAGGCATTACAGGTATCTTAAATTGTTTTCCCTTTTTCGCACAGCCACTACTAATATCAATACAGTGTGCAAGACTATAAAAATGTGTGTATTCACATGGAGTTACTAAAGCTTTAGTGACTCCATGCTATCCAGTACTTTGGTAAAGAATACATAATCGAACTATAGTATGTGCTTAAAGAGTAATGGTAGCTGTCTGATTTGATGTCTCGATACAATTCGTAGTTAACTGAATGGAATTATGTAAATTATGGATCTCCATTTACGAAAGGGGATCAGTGTGATGAAAAGCTCAAATTGTTCATAATTAACCATTAAAAACAGAAGATATATTTTGTGCATACATGGCCAGCTTATACAGTTCAGAGAGCTTAAAACTAAAATGTCGGGCGGGTGAGGAGGTGCACAACGGTCTGTCCCATTCGATTAACCCACAACAAAATAAGTTTTGAAGAGATAAGAATCCTGTTGAGTCTTGTTGGTGTATTGTTATCTCGAACTATAGTGATAGCCGCAGACCCTTATAATAATAATGCCCATTTAATAATTCTGACGTCATCATGATGCAAACGAAAATTTGGGGTTTGATATGATATGTGGACCATTATTCCGATTTCTGTGAATGGTTTTGATGAAAAGCATTTTGATTCAGCTATTCATTCTACCTTCTATACCACCATAGTGTGTGGTTAAAATAGAAATCGTTATGAACAGAAGAATATTATTCAAGGACCATTACACTTCACGCTTCAGCAATATTGTCGCTCTTTCTTTCTCTCTCTCTCTCTCTCTCTCTCTCACTCTCTCTCTCTTTCTCTCTCTCTCTCTCTCTCTTTCTCTCTCTCCCTATATACCTTTCACTCTTTTACTATTTCCTACCTCTTCCTCTTTGTTTCTGCTTGTCTCTCTCTGTCGTTCTACATTAACTTTGTTTCACCATCGACTCTGCCTTACTTTCTGTCTTTTTTGTCTTTATCTCTTCCTGTCTGTCTGTATCTTTCTCACTTTCCTTCGAATCGTGATAATATTTTTACTGTATAAATTACTAGCCTATTATGTCTCGACACTCTCTCTCTCTCTCTCTCTCTCCTTTTCTATACCCTCTAATTCTTAATATGTACCCTTCTCTGCTTCTTCCTCTCTCTCTCTCTCTCTCTCTCTCTCTCTCTTTCTCCTCTGTATTTGGGAATACGGCCTGAGCCGTCAAAATATTCTTCAGTGAACTGTGATAATAGTCGTTCTTCAGCCACTGAAATACCTTAGCGAGCCGTGCATGTATTGTGTTGTTCGCCCGTTATTTTTCTCACTGGCTACTGCTGTTAGCGTGTCTATACTCTGCCTCTCTGATACTCTGTGCAATATACTGATTTTTTTTTTTGTATTGATCGTGAGTAATATTCTCGGCCGTTTTAGACCTGATTTATGCCTCTGGTTAGTGCTAGTGACATCGGTTCTATGTTTCTGACGAATATACCCACTCACATGATGCGGACCAACTTTCTGACCTCTGACGTATACCCTCGTTGAGTGACAAATTACTCGTCTACCATTGGTCCTTCGACTACTGAGAACCAAAAGGAAGTCCACATATTTCTACACATTTGGCCATTCAGTGTACATTCTGAGCAAAAAGTGTGTTTCGCTTTCTCCCTAAGCCCCAAAAGTTCTGTTCGACTTTTTTCCCTACTAGCATGCACCGGGGACTGCCTGGTACGAGGAGAGCATATAAATCTCGACGGACTACTGGCGGCAACCTGTTGATCGGATTGCTACATCTGTATATATCATTCACATGCTCTGAACCATTACACAGGCCTCAATCCACGTGATACCACAAATACAACACGTCATACAGCTATCTCGCAAACTTGGTATTTAAACGACCGGCTGCACACAAACCTATTCACATCAAGGCTCTTCGCTTGAGTCGTGTCGACTCGGTGTTATTCAGCACAACGTTTTATTTTTTATTTTCTCCCCTTTTCGCTGGATTCGCTTCAGGTTTTTATTTGAGCAAGACTACCATGGCTTCTATCTAGACCAAGGACATTTACCTCACACTATAGGTAAGGACTCGGTCATTCATTCAAACAATTAATCGACCGTATAGGTATTTAGGTTCAGTTACAAAAATACAAGCTATATGTTTCCCATGGTGGGATAGATTGATTCTATATTATTTGCTTACAGATTTTTTACGATACAAATTATGTGCATTCTTCTTTACCCTATTCTCTTTCGTTCCACAGTACACCACAGCAATTACTCTTGGCTAGATCATCTTGCTCTGTTTGCATTTGAATTGTGGATATTGAATCCTCCAACAACCAGGGCAGCAGCAAACCAAACACCAAACATTGAATAAGTCGGGGTTTATTCAGAGTTTTCTCAACAAGTGTTTATACAGTGGAGGGAAGAAGAGTAAATCTGTATTCATCCCCGGAGTTCTGCTCTGTTGACAATGCTCGACTACTACCGCACTCAGTCCAGTGTTGAACGTGAAAGCTGGACGTTGCAGAGGCTCAATTCCGCTGGAGGTGAAGACGAGATGGATTCAAACAGTACCAGCTCAATGTCCGACATCGACATGAGTGAACATTCCAGCCCCCTCAGCTCCAACAGCGATGATGATTTGTTTCTCGATTACCTCTTCTCTCGCGGCATCGTAGACTCGATCGGCGACCAGTCGGAGGAGGTTTCGCCAAGTGGTGTCGATGTGTCTTCGCCAGTGTTTCCGCCTGCTGCGTCACCCATGCGAGCCGTTACCCTGCGCCCTGCACCGAATCAGACTCTGGGCAACTTGAACCAATTTAACGATGCAATGAAAAGTAATGACGCATTCCTAATACCGAACCCTGCGGATCCTTCCGGGATAGGAAGTCCGTTGCTAGGACAAAGTGATACCAGTTTAGATGAGCTGCTAAAGTCGACTAGCATGGATGAATTTGCCGGCTTATGCAGCAGTATTCTTAGTGACCTGGACAACGGATACTTGTTAAATACCGAATCAGAAATCAATTTGAATGGATGTGCGAATGTTTTGTCATTGTTGCCCCAGGACCCACTTGCCTCCGATCACCAGAACAGTTTCCATAATATGGGATCCTTCAACGGACGCACCACCAGCACCATTCCTGCCCAACATCCCGCTCTCATCCACAACTATGCGGCAAATCAGCTTACGGTTACTAAAGTACCTGACAATCAAACAGATCCCAGGACTATTTTTAATTCATCAGGGAGCAACAACAGGCTCTTGATATCCTCAGAGAACCCTCTTCTCTCGGTTGTGGAAGAACAGACCAACCTTCTTGATCGCAGCATCCTTCCACCATCAGGAGTCCGCATCACGCATATTCCTGTAGGTAAGACAAACGCTAGTGAGAACAAACGCGGGAGTCCCATGCAGAACTCTTCTTCCGTCTTAACAACGTCGAACTCATCCACCACCTCACCTACGACTACGACAACGACGACCGTGAAGACAGGACGCGGTGGTGGTGGACGCGGCCGAGGACATGGCAACAAGATCGCGGACGAACTCAAGATTCACAAGTGCACTTATCCCAACTGCGGCAAGATGTATTCCAAGAGCTCTCACCTAAAGGCGCATCTTCGACGTCATACAGGAGAAAAACCCTTCATCTGTACTTGGGAAGGGTGTAAGTGGAGGTTCTCTCGTTCAGACGAACTTGCGCGTCACAAGCGTTCCCATTCGGGCATCAAGCCTTATAAATGCACTATTTGTGAGAAGCGTTTTTCACGGTCGGATCATCTTTCCAAGCACATCAAAGTACATGCAAATGGAGTTCCAAGAGGGATGCGTAACAACCAGGCCTTTGTCACTAATAAGTGAACTTCATGCAAAACTGTTTTGTTACTCATATTATCCCTTCTACGCATACAACTCGTGCCTTTTGCATGATTTGCGATGTTTTTCGATCGCATTGTTTTTTGCAAAATCTTGAAAACTAAAACAAAATGGTATTTAACGTCGGAAGGAGATGAAGAAGAATTTATCAGGAGAGGAATTTGTGTGTAAAATTACAATCGGTAAGGTACAGAGGTACTGCAACATTCATCGACAAAGACAATCGTTCAAACGACAGGAAGAAGACTAATCATTCATTTTTGTGTTATTGTGATGTGTAGTGGCTATTTGAACATCACTTACAAACCAACACATTCTTTTTTTTTTGTATATTTATGTTACAAACCAGCACATTCTTAATATTGATATTTGTATTTTACCGCCGATAATCGGCCGGCGTAAGGTTACGTCTTTAAGAGTGGAGCATATCCCATAACAATACTGTCCTAATCAGGTTATCACCAAGCCATTATATAACTAGTGATCTTAGCAAGTTTACTCTACCTCCCTTCGATACCGGTACCAGTCGTTTTGTCAAAGACCAACACCATTTTAACTTATCATTCTCGCCAAGGAATCTCCGAATTCTGATAACAATCGATCGTATATATCTGATCAGTGGTAAGAGAGCTTATCTGTAAATAGAGGCAAGTTGATTTAGTTCCACTGATATATGGCATCCGTTATCTGCAATATGAGACTTGGAATGGTAAGACAGAGTGTATTAAATCACTGCGTTATCTTTTTAGTACACACGGAAAGCTGCATGTCAAATATTTAGCTGCTTTAATACCTCGAGGACTTCATACCCCTCACCTTTATCATTCATAGAGACCATGAAAGACAGAGTCTCAGAGTTATCATTGTACAGAACTCCATCTTTTTTCTTTTAGCTGATTTTGCCTTTTACATGACGAAGCATTATTACCTCAAAATGTCTCAGACATTTTTATCGTTTCATGGAACATTCGTCATGGAGTCAGCTGATATTTTATGTAACACGGAATGTATTTCATGAAAAAGACGTTTGTGAAAATGTGTTCAGTTAAATCATACTCTCAAATAATTCATTCGTCTGCTGATTACCAGAAGGTCGTTAGTTTGTGTCAGTTTACAAAAAGACTTAAATGCCCTTCTTGTACTTGGCAGACAAGTTTACTGAACGTGATTATAATCGGGTATTGAACGGTATGTTTTGATATCGTCATTTGTATATAGAGTAATAATTCATTTCTTTTCTACACCTTGCTGTACTATATGACAACATTTTCCAGAACATGGTGTTTTCAGAGCTTATCATGCCTATCTGCAAAATTTACCTATAATGTTGGCAATTGCCTCATCGGCATCGCCGGCTGATATCATAGCATTTTCAAGAAGATTTTGTTTAGTTGAATTATTCGTTTTTATACGAAGTGCCAAAAGCTTACCTTTATAAATATGTAATTTTAATCTTCAGATTTTCATGTTAAACAAAATCTGAGATCAAAACCAAGTACAGTATTTGCAAACCTCTTAAATTCACTTGTCACCCTCTTTTTCCGAGGGTGGGGTTAATGGTTCAAGTTTGGTGCATAAAAATACCAATATTCCATATACTGGTAAAAACTTTTCTTTTTTCAGTAAAGTTAAGTTTTGTTATCCACTGTCAAAATAGAATATATTTCTATTAAACGGCATTTGCCTTCAGCAAAAGATGATCAAAATGATACTCTTGATACCGTAAAACTCGCAACAAATTAACCTGGTCAGTAGGCATGATAATTTATGTTCTCTGAATACGTGTAAGTTGGAATTTAACCAGGTCTATTAACGTAATGCTCACGTTTCAAGCGAAATAATTCTCAAAATGGCGTTATTGTGCAGTACTTAGTAGTGATAGGTGCTTAAAGAGAAGTTTGAATTCTGGGGAGAGGTGATAAATACTTTGTGAGCAGTAAGCATTATGCAAGTGTGGAAAACATCAGAAAAAAATGTTCCATGAAGAGCATGGCTCTTCGAATGCCTTCATATTTAAAATATGACAAGTAACAGCTTTTTATGCCACATTTTTGTGTAGTCCCATATACATCTATGATCTATCTATTTACAGTGCTTGTTACTTTACCAAGACTGCCATATTTCTTTTCATGTTGATGACTCCAAAACCTTGCAGTACACAGCAATACTTACATGCTACATGATCAACTCTTCTGATCGATTCCACACTGTTTCTATCACTATGCAATCGCATGACCAGAACTCAACTTTATCTTTAAGCAGAGAATATTTAACCACTAAAGAAAAATTACAGAAAAGAAAATTGATATGTTTTCTATAGAGTGCAATGAAAAGTATATTTCTAAGAGCTTGGTCGTTTCTGTATTTAGCTTGAATCATTTAAGGATATTCAAGAGTGACTTTTAGTCTGTCAACTTGTTTCATGAAATTAAATACCTACTATAAAACTTGGGAACATACAATTTCTGGACAAGTTGGAGAGGTGATTATATATTATGTGATTCTATAATTCGTATTTAATGTAGGCATATGAGCTGAAAGATCTCGTCAAACAGTATTATCCTAGAATTTTCTTAAAGTAAAAACATAATTCGACCTTTGATCGTAAATACTGAGGTCTAAGCATGACCAGAAGTCAAATTTCAGAAAACTAATTACGTCTTGTTCAAATGTTTGAAATGGAGTAAGAGGACAAAAGGACCGAAAGAAATGGAGCTCGGTCGAACTTGAAATAATCTGCTGGAAACTGAAAAGATATATTTGAATGGAATGATCAGGTTTTCTGCGTACCCAACCGTGCGTAATATGTTTACTAGATTGAGGTCAATAACAATTTAAACAATACAGATACAAATTTACTGAAAGTTAGACCGCAGAAGGAACGAATAAAATTAAACTATTTTTACATATACATGTTTATCTAAAGTTGCAATGCTATTGTAAATTGGGGTTTAGTTTACGTTCTTGCAGGTTATAAGAAGGGTTACCTTAGTCTAGAGCGATTCCTCAATCTTGGATGCAAATACTGTGTTGCAGAGAAGAAATACGTAATGTCTCACAAGACAATATTAAATATAATTTTGTTTTCATATTGAAAATTCTTTTCATTTGTAACCTTGATGAGGGGGTGTATGGTTCCTTGCACCCCCTGCAGCTAGTTCGCACCGCCATATGCATCATATCGATGATTTTCTTGAAGAGTTGAACAATACGAATTTGACTCGCGACATTCCGAAGTCCTATTTATCATTGTGTTCTAGTATTCTAGTCGTCTTTTATACGCTTCAAATATTTGTGCTTTACACGAGAGGACCTTTGTGAAGAGAAGATCAAATAATAGTGTCCCCAGGATAAACAATAGAAGTAATGAAATAATCCTTTTTGGTGTTTCAATTTGCTTTTTGGAATTATCTCCTAACATTTACTTTCAAAAGAATATCCACTAGGCAAGCTTAGTTCGTTGAACTTATTGTTGCGCCTTATAAAATGCTAGACAGTTTTCAACTCCACAATAATTTTCTTTGGAAATAGGCCATTTTCGTAATGTATCCAAAGTTAATGCATAAGTCTTTGTGAAGTACCTCAATACATATTATTTCATTCACCTGAAAAGAATAAAAGTATTTCAATAGACAGTATCCGAACTGCATTCATTAGTTGTTGCCAGGTTGGACAAACATTATGGCTTGACCTACCTAGCAACACTTAATATATGCAGTTTGCATTCTGACTATTGAAATACTATTATTCTTATCAGGTAAATGAAATAACTTGTATTGAGGCACTTCACAAAGACTTATGCATTAAATTTGGTTACATTACGAAAATGGCCTATTGGATGCGTACTGGTTTGCTTCAGTGCATATAAAAGAACACCTGAATTCACTTCCTTAATATTCCATAATATTCACCGATTCTAACTTAGGGAATCTTCATTTGATTATGGGTTGTATGAAGTGTGGAGCTATATGGGCGGACAATGGTGTTATCACACAGTATCTTAATCGCACACATGTTTTCACAATATTCAGTGTTTATAATGTTAATGCAAATCTCGTAATTTTGTCAAAATTGATTCAAATCATTACTGAGCTTCAATAATTAATGAATTAATCCCAATTCACCAACATGACCACTTCATAGCCTGTTATCGGCTGAAAGCCAGATGGGCCTAGATTCATATGTTAACGCCTTTTTGGCTGTCGATCAGCAGACGGGTATATTATGCTATATTCTTTATATCATTATGGAAAAATAACTAATACACATTCTATGTTTACTATTCTAATTTTGAAAGCAAACTTAGTCATCATTACGAATTATGTGAGCAAATGGGTGTGGGAATTTGCTCTCCATTCGTGAGTGCAGTATCACTGGAGCTTCAATACATGCTCATAGCCTTGATACAGTAGCAGCGGACCTAAGTTATTTTTTTACGTTGGTTTGTCTCTTTTGTATTGAATGCGGTTGCAGACATGACAAGGTGTATTCTGACTAATTTTGTGAAAGTCATTTGCGGTGATTCAAGCTGGGTAATTTGTCACAATGCCACAAAAGGTCATATTGATGATGAGGTTTAGCATGATCATAGCAAGCGAGGCATTTCAAAGACTGTAGGTGGGTTCGAACCCCCCAAAATGGCCAACAAATCATGAGTTGTCAACATTTTGCCAAAATCACTTTAATTTTATTGTTTTGCCAATTATACATGTAAGTTTCATGATGTATGTACATAATGTACTTATACGACATGCATGACCAAGCGTCTGTCAAGGACCCGATATGTAAGGTGTTTCAAGGCAGGCCAATTAGAGTGTATTATGTGAGCTACATGAACATTTATCTTTCTTGAAGTGTTTTCCTGCTATTAAAATCTGCGGTTTCTAAGCCAAAGTCACGGTCATGATTCTGTTTGTACTTCAGATCAAGCAAATCATGAACCAATATCATGCCTGGGTACTACCTTAGTCACACCGACAAACGGACACCGTATTGGCAGTCTCTTACTGGTCTGATATCGGTCTCCTTGGTGCGGCAGGGTTTTTAACCATTCAAGAACCACTGCATTGCAACACGTAATACTAATTGTAAATCGACGCACTCATGCAAAAGATGATCTCTCAGCTAGCAGCGCTGGAAGCCGATCAAATGACCGACAATAATAGGTATTCGAAGTCAGTCTCTATTCACCTGCAATGAGTTGATCATCTCCTTTTGTGTCAAAGAAAATCCTTTAGTGTATATTGAAGTAGTACGATCAGTAAAGGGCATGACATTTCTTTAGGGATGTGACTATATTTGGATATCTTCATGATTATTTTTTCAGGTCATTCAATTTTCGAAAATAACTTTTTGTTATGTTGACGTGGTATAATTCCTCTGTGCATTACACATGTATTATATGTATATATATATGTATATATGTTTATATGTATATATGTATATATGTTTATACATATATGTATATGTATGATTATAATGTTATTCTGCACACATCTCGTATTCGAACTTTTAATCGTGATGATATTCAAGCTCCATTGTGGACCAGTGCCACGCGGAAATATCATTAACTTCCCAACCCTTCCAACCCTGTCACATCTCGATAATTTTCCGAATTTCCCATCCCTTTGACTCGCAAAATTGAAGCTCAAAGCCATCTTTATCCTTCTTAGATATTTGGTTTGACCTCTTTTAATCTTGCCGAAAACCGATTTCGAATTCCCAGTCTCTTCCCCAGAAAAAAATTCGATGTCTAAACGGCAAAGAATGCACATGGTTATTGAATCAACTTGCTACGATCAATTTGTTGTTGAACCAATACGATCTGGAAAGAGAGGCTTTTTTACGTATTTAGTGGGCCTGATTTTCGTTCGTATCGTTGACGATATTTTTTCCCATTTAAGCTTGCCATTATTTTACCTTGTTTTGTTATTGCAATGACCATTAATGACGTCATGGAATTGCACTCACTAGCCCGTTTTACTATGTAATGTACAATAGTACATCAAGAACAGATCAGCAAATAACTGACGCAATTTGTATAAACTTTTTTTGTGGCCAAAACAGAGTTATAGTTAGGAACGGAATTCTGACTAGAGTGCCTCATATTATGATACTTATGATGAAATTTGACAAACAAATATTTTACAACTGTACAATCAATTGCTTGTTCAATTTGGATGCTTCAGTTTGAAAGAAGTACTGCTTTTATATTTTATGAAGTTTTATTCATTACGTTTGATATCTCCTTTATTATAGGACTTTTTTATAGAAAATTGTAAATACTTATACACAAGAAAGAGAAGAGAGAATATTATCCAATATATGCGAAGTATATTACAAATGTTTTATGTTTACAGATATTTTGATAAAAGAAGACATGTTTGAAAGGAAAAGAAATCTGTGTCAGGTGGATTTATTTTGTGGTTGGTTTGTGGCATTTCGTTACTTGTGTATTTTGAAAGAGAGATCGAAAATGAGTCACTTGGACTAAAATGTTGTTAATGCAACAACTCGTAGGCCAGTTGTTGGAATCTTGCTATCTGTATGGCAAAGTGATCAGAGTATATGTGTAATTGCATAATTTATATTATGCAATGGCTTTCAAGATGAGAACACTTTCCATTCATTTTCACATATGAGTAACTTTATGCAAGAAAAATCTCTTTGAAGGTCAGACTGTATTCACCCGAGCTATTTGGGTAGTAGCACGATGGAGGGGGCATTGTGCCAGAAAGAGAGACAGAGACAGAGACAGAGGGAGAGAGACAGAGAAAGAGAGAGAAAGAAATGGACAGACGAGACAAACAGACACACACACACTCTCAGAGAGATCAGGTCCATGGGGAGAGAGAGAGAGAGAGAAGTAAGAAAATAGAAAGCAAAATATGTACATACATAAACACTTTACTGACGGTCTATACTCATCTTATTTCAGTCTTGGAATGCATTCTTTCCTACATT